TGGAGCCAACATCCATTGGGGTAGCATAGGAATAAACCTAGGCAGTTTTGACAGTCCTTGTCGTGTTTTCTAAATAAGCCCTCTGTTCCACGTGCTAAAAGTAACCAGAGGTTAGTGTAACACCATTAGGAAATCCTGAAGGTGCCTCATTAAAGGTGTGGTTCCTACCTCCAGCAATGCCTATCGGGATTTTCCACTGCAGCTAATGCAGCCATACCTGGAAACTTTATTGCATTTAAAAACATAGACATGTGCTTATTCCCCGGTGGGCAGTGAAAATAAAAATTAAAAAAACAAACAAAATATAAGCTATTGTTACAGTTATAGATTCCTGTTAGGAAGGATACCCGTTGCAGCCACCCCTGGCTTTCAGATGTATTGAATAGTAAACTACTGACCTCTTTAGCCTTCCAGAGCTGATTTCCAGTGTATATGTAATCCAGGTGAAAGATTGTTCTTTGCCACTAAATAGAAGGCATGTTAGACTGGGCCCTAACCAACAAAATGAAATTGAACATAGAGAAAGTATGGTATTACAAAGGCAAGAAAAACCAAAATTACAGATATAGATTAGGTGAAACCTGGCTTAATAGCAATATTTATGAGAGGATCTTGAGAGTCCTAGTGGACAATGAAATATGAGCCCACAGTGTGCAGTAGCAGCCAAAATAGCCAATGGAATCCTAGTGTAAAGCATCCAGAAAGTATCCATTATATCAATCACTCTGAGACATTTATCTCCAATTGATTTATTTAGAGACAGATCTGGCATGTCAAAGGCAATTTCCCAAGTGAAATTATTTTCACGTGTTACACAGAATCCACCTTCTCTCTTCCCTTCTCTCCTCCACTTCTACACTTAATAAATCATGAGAACCAATTAACTGCCACTGGAATTTCTTAATACTACATACAAAATAACCTTGAACTTTTCAACTCCTTCAACTCTCTAAAAATGTGGCAACTGAATTTTAAAGCTGACAGCAAGGTTGTATTAACAGAGGGATGGAAGCAAGATCATATTTAGACTAGTTCGCCTAATTTTGCAAATCATGGTTTATTGATAGTTAGGTTTATGCAGTGTGGTATAAACCATGGTGTACAAATAACAGTGGATAAGGTGTGTTTCTTTTTGAAACTTAGCAAAGCCTATTAATCCAATCAACAGGTCTTGAGTAATTTTCCTTACTCTTACAGCAATATAATATCCCAAGTTATTAAGTGATACATCCATTCTTATTCTAAAGCTAGTGGCACATCCATTCAATCATCCATACCCTGTTTAACTCTTTAGGAGGGCACTTAAGATGGATGTTCCTTTGGATGTTGGGGCCAGAGTATTGAAGAGCAGATCCTTTGAGCTGTGACATATGAAGGGGCTCCCCAAAAATTTATGTTGCCCTGCTAGGACTTTTCTGTTTATGTGACTGATTATAATCTGTTTTTATTGTTGTCCCCCACCCTCCCATTTTTGCAAGTTGAGCAGTCTGATAAAGACCTTAAATGAATGACTAATCATTTCCCTGCAGAATCAAACCATTTCACTTCTTCATTCTACCATGTCCAGATTTCTTTGCATTCATAAGGGGTTAACTCACCTGGGAGCTCAGGAGGGGAGTAAACCTTCAACTGCAGAAGTTTATCTTAAAGGGGGATGGTCCTTCCACCATTTCAAAAACAAGATGGTCTAACAGCTGTTTTAGTCCTTTGCCCCATTTGTGTCAGTCTCTAATTTTCAGAAATTGAGGCCAAATTGCTAAATAGAAGATGATCTATGAGAGGGGGGGTCAAACTGGATTACTTTGAGGGACGGATCAGCTTTGTAGTTCTCCTCTGCAGGCTGGTGGCGGTGGGGTGGGGACAGGACAGATGCCTTCTGCAGCACCCTGCTGGCCAAAATGGGGTGCGGGGGGGGGGGGGTTGGTGCATTTTCAGCCTGTTTGGGGGCTGTTTCCAGTCTGTTTTTCAGCCCATTTTTGGCCATATTTGGCTCGTTTCAGCTCGAATGCCGCAGGCCATGGCGCGTGAAAATGAGGCGGGGGGGGGCACTCATAGCCCAATTTAGCTGCCTGAAGCACTATGGGCCGTTCCCTTGATATTTGCAGGCCGGCCCCATGGGCCGGCCCCCGGGCCTTGACTTTGACACCCCTGCTCTATGATGAGACGTGTGCGTGAAGAAAAACCAACAACCCCACAACTATTCTCAGTGGTGTCAACATATGGGTGGGCATAATGGTGGACATAGCATTGTGATGGAGACCCCAGTCTTTCAAAGATCTGCTGGTCCCGAGCAGGGATGGGATTATCATATATCCTTTCAAATAGAGACTCCATCACTATGTCTATCCACCATCTTGCTGGTTTTGACCTCACCTCCTCCACAGCTTCCACTATTTTCATAGATTCACTTCTCTTCTAATCAAAAGTATATCTAAGGTGTACAGAAGTACTTCTAATCTGTGTTGGAAATGTGGAAAATGGAAAACGTGAAAGGTCATTTTACGATGCACAGTAGCTTGTGAAAGGACAAAAAAATGCAAATACATAACCCAATAACAGAGTTGGAAGGGACCTTGGAAATAGGGATATTCTGCCCCCTGGTGTTGAGTCTATGGAAATTCAAGCTTTTGATTGATTGGATGAACAGAAGGACATCTGTTTTGGGATGTTACTTGCTCATTTGTAAGTTCATACAATGAAATATGTGTGTTTGTAAGCATGATCAATTTTATATATTTTATATGTATAATATCTGTGTATTTAAAATATTTAAAGTCATACTTTCAAAAATACTTCCTCAGAACAGAGGTATAGGACAAGTGCAGGAAAAGCTCTTGTGGCCCTCAGAATACCCTCCAAACTTCCAGCGTTGGGGTAAAAAGAAGAGGGAAGATTCTGGTGTATCTTCTCAAATGTTACATAAAAGAAAAGATCATTTCATTCCCAGCTCCCCAAATGGGGGGAAATTCACCATGTTTATAGGTGCCCATACTCACTTTACATCATTCGTGTATCCACTATAATCTCTAATGAATGAATCACGTTCCTTGAATGATCCTGCTGTTAAATAAATATGGAACTGAATAATATAAACTTGGAAAAGTACATGGCGAGAGTTCTGGTAAAATCAGGCCACTCAACATGAAGCCAGCTGAGATACTGGATGAAAGTTTGAAGCATGCCAACATTCAAATGTTTGCCATTATAACACACATTAGCTATTTATTAGATTGTGCAATACAGTAAAAGAATAAAGTATAAAGAACCGAAATATAAAGAAAAATATGAACCATAACTTCTTCCTTCCTTCCCTCCTCCTTCCTTCCTTTCCTTCCTTCCATCCTTTCTTTCTCTTTTTTCTCTTTCTTTCTTCCACTTTCCTTTCCTTCATCTATCAATCAAGCAGTTACGATCTCACTTTTTTCTGCCTTTTTGCCCCTTACGTTGTAATTCCATTCTCTTTCTCTTTTAACCCTTTTTAGTCCCTAAATCCCCAAATCATCAATTCAGTGTTCCCTTTTTTCAGCAAAAAGCTCATATAAGATGTCCAGTTTTTCAAGAAGATCATTACTGCATTTTGGCCAGCTTTGCCATTTTTGCAGGTTCTCTCAATGTTATAATCTAACTTTCCAAGGGCGGGGGGGTGGGGGGGAGGGGGCATTTAATTATTCTATCTTTGTGCATACATTAATCAGGTACTAATTTCCTATGATTTTTTTGCTAGATCAATGTACATAAAACCCAATAGAAACAATGCTATTTTCAGCATATTAGTTCACTAGCAGGGTACCCATGCTTCACTATGAAACTATGTGATCGGGCAAGTTTTGGGGGAGGAAAATAAGGGGGGGGGAATTGTGCCTCTGCCTACCAGCTTCCATTGGTATTCATCTGGCTAGCCGCCTGTCAGTGTGTGAGTTGAGGGCTGTTTGGAAACTGAAACAGTATCTGCTGTGTGAACAAGGAGACAGCAAGGAGCCTGGGTGTGCTTAGCTCAAGTGTTCTGTACTAAAGCTGGTTGCTGCTGTGAAACTAAAACTGAAACTCCTGTCCTCTGCTTTGTATTTGGAACAGATTTCTATTCAGGTGGGGAGGGAAGTAGAACTCCTTAAGCATCAGAGTCTGTTAATAATAATATACGAAATACTAACGCTCTGATGGTCATTTCGAAAAATCCTTTCTTAGTGAGCATCTAAAAGCCAAGAGGAACATAGGTGCCAAGTTTGTAGGCTTTATGGCTCTAGAGATTTTGTGAGGATGCGTGAGTGGTATTTTGCTTTTATATAGAGAGATAATAACTTTTGCATCATTATTTGGATTTGTGCCCAAAATTTCCTTGCTTTGTTACATGCATGATTAGAAGGTCCTTTCTTCCTTTTCATATCCCCAACCTTGGTTTGATATTCCTTTATCCATTTTTGACAGCTTGGCTGGTACTTTATACTATTGATACATCAATACTGCACAATACAAAAAAGATGCTGAGACTTCAGAAAGAGTGCAGAAAAGAACAACATAGATATGTAGGTAGGGGGCTGAAACATATGATGAACAGTTGCAGGAACCAGGTATGTCTAGTCTAACAAAGAGAAGGGTGTGGGGTAGGATAGCAGCCCTCCAATATTTGAGAGGCTGTCACAAAGAAGGGGAAGACAGCCTATTCCCTAAGACACCTCCGAATTTAAGACAATGGATTAAAAGTTATCAAAGAGAGATCCTGCCTAGAATGGAAAGGCTTGCTTTCAGAAGTTGTGGGAGCTCCAACACTGGAGATTTTAAAGAAGAGATTGGGCAACTGTTTGTCCAGGATGGTGGTTTCCTGCAGTGGGTTAGACTAGAAGACTTCCAAAGTGCCACCCAACTCTGCTTATTCTATTCTATTCTATTTTCCATATTCTTATTCCTACTCTACATTCTTATTCCTATTCTATATTCTTATTCCTATTCTATATTCTCATTTCTTTTCTATATTCTTATTCTTATTCCTATTCTATTTCTATTCTATTCTATTCTATTCTATTCTATTCTATTCTATTCTATTCTGCAAAATGAAATATTGAAATGGAGTAAGCAGATTGACAACATCTGCTCATACATTTTTAAAACCAGTATTCATGAAACATTCCCACTTAAGCATATGTTGGTTTACGAAGAAGATTCAACTTCAAAATTGCACTGGAATATTCTTCATTCCAAGGATCAATGTTCAAGGCTTCTTCATAGGCTTCCCCTGCTTGTTCCATTTCTCCACTGAGCTGATGAATAAATCCAAGAATGGCGAAATCCGCAGCATTGGCTTCTCCTTTCCTGATTTTCTTCTCCATCAATTTCTTCAATATACACTGGCATTTATCTCTCTCAGAAGAGTCGAATTCAATCTTCAGTGCTGCAAGGTAGTGTTTGATGGCTTCTGATTGCGACCTTCTGTAAAATTCTTGAAAACGCCCATAATTGAAATGGAGCTGTTGCTTCTCTAAGGGAGTTAGGTTGCTTATGGTAAGGAGCTTCTTCTGGTATGTTTCCTCTGCTTTTTGCAGCTGTCCTTTTTCTGCATACATCTGTGCGAGGTCAATATTAGCATAGAAAAACCTGGGTTTACGCTCCACCACTTTTTCAAAATAAAAAATGCACGATCTGATCAATTCCTCCATTTTATCAAACCTGCTTTTCTTTTTCATCGCGAAATACTGTGCTCTATAACAAAGGCCAATTTGATGGTACAAGAATCCAGCATTTGGGGTCAAGCTCAATGCTTTCTCCAAATGTTGCAGTGATGTCTCTACATCTCCTTTCTTTCTGTAAAATTTGGCAGCGTACCTTAATACATAAGGAACGTCAGGATGCTTTTGGAGGGCTCTTTTAATCCACTTTTCTCCTTCTTTCATTCTGCCTGCTTCTAGGAGATTTACTGCAAGTAGAGGAACAACAAATACATCATCAGGATTCAGTTCCACTGCACGCTTCAAAGGTTCCAGGGATGACTCTTTCCCTGAATGGTTTTTGGAAAAATGATCTTCCATGCGGTATACCGTGATAGCATAGCCTGAGTTAAATTCTGGGTTTTTTGGTTCTTGTACCAGGGCTTTTTCAAAGCTCTCCTTGGCCTTATCATAATACCTGGCTCCAAATTTTAGGAGCGCCCAACCCTTGTCACAGTAGATCTGTGGGAGCTCCAGCTTATAAGGAGACTCACCTCCAAGTTGCTTGCAGATGCTTTCTACCTTCTCCAGGTAGGCTTGGGATTCAGTAAGATTGCCCACGTGGTAGTGCACCCAGGCATAGTTGCCCCAGGTCACCAGGCTTCCCTTTTCAACCTCCCCAGGGTATTCTAGGGGCACAGCCTCTTCAGCTTTCTGCAAGTTTTCCAGGGCTTCTTCCTTCTTGTCGTTCAGGAATTTCACATAGGCAAGAAGGTTGTAATTTCGAACTTTGGATTTATTGGTTAAGAACCGGATCTGCTCAGCAATTCTTTCCTCCAATTCATCAGGATGAATATGCTCTTTCTGCAACTCCCAAGTAAAATGGCATTCAAGTTGTTGGAGAATCTCCTTTAAACCTTCCCGGGAGAGGAGACTGCAGGACAAAAGGAAAGAGAATGAGAGACGTGTACAATTTGCGGACAAAGAAATTCAATTCAAGAGTACGTTTTATACTACTTTTTAAACTACCTTTTATTTAATGTATAGATAGAAATCAATTAGCGATAATTAGGCTTTGTATCTAGATGGTATTCCTTGGTTATACCGTGTTTCTCCAACAATATGCCCCCCCCCACCAGCATGTTTTTTAGGGATAAAATTAAATTAAATCCCTCCCCCCAAATTTAGGCCTATTTTAAAACATGCAAAATTGGGGAGGAGGGTGGCGGGGGGACTTGCCTTTAGGAGTGCCCCGCGGGCAGCTACACCTCGTCACCAGCTGCTCCTAATGGCTGATCATGGCGGAGCAAGGATTGCTCCCTACCACTGCTAAGCGCTTTTGCTGCAAACCTGGGTATGGTGTTGGTTGCAGGCTGGGTCAGCAGGCAGGTGGCGGTGGTGTGGATGTCGGCCTCGGCAGGGCACTTTAAATCACGAGACCTTCAGCGCCCGCCACTGCTGCTTCCTCCGCCACTCTTGCTTTCCCTTCGCATTTCTCCATCGGCAGCATTTCAGCCACTTCTTGGGCGGGGGAGCCGCCTCTGTAGCTTCCATGGTTCCCACAGGCGCTGCCGTTGTTGTTGTAGATGGCGCCAGAGCCAGCGGGAACTGTGGAAGCTACAGAGGGAGCTCCCCCGCCCGAGAAGCGGCTGAAACGCTGCTGATGGAGAAATGCAAAGGGAAAGCAAGAGTGGCGGAGGAAGCAGCAGCGGTGAGCACCGAAGTTCTCGCGATTTAAAGTGCTCTGCCGAGGCCGACATCCACACTGCCGCCACCTGCCCGCTGACCCGGCCTGCAACCAATACCATATCCGGGTCTGCAGCAAAGAGACTTGGTGGGGGTAGGGAGCCCTCTACGTTCCACCATGATTGGTCATTAGAAGCGGCAGGTGATGAGGCATGGCTGCCCACGGGGCGCTCTAGGCAAGGGTGCGTGGTGGTGGTGGGGGAGAAATTAATTCACTCCCGAAAAGACAGCCTAGCTGTTTTTTCAGGGCTCAAAAAAAAATAAGACCCAGCCTTATTATATGAGAAACACGGTATTTTCCCGTTGTAACCTCAGGACTGCCTGTATATTAAACTTTATGCCTGCCCAAAATGCATTAAAACTTATATGACTGTGGTATGATCAGTGTTTATCATCATTGCAAAATAAGAATGAACTAGAATAGGGGTCGCCAACCTTTTGGACCTCAGGGACTACCAAAGTCATAATTTTAAATCCCGGGACCACTAATATGAATTTTGACTGACAGTAGCTTGCTGACTTTCGTGTGAGAGAGAGATCTGATCTAACCTCCCTCTCTCTCTCACACACACACACACAAACACACGGAGGCAGAGGTGGGATTTGAATTTCTTAACAAACTGTTCTTGGGCGACCACTGAACTAGAGAAATCTTTATTAAAGTATGGTCCCAGAACCTCTTGAGGTCCCTCAAGACCTTCTGAGAAGTCCATGTAATCAAAATTATTTATCAAATATTGAATTTTCAATTGGGACAAGAATTTCCATCATAAGTTGTTGCAGTCCTAAGTTGAGACACCATGTGGGCTTTTTTGCTGGAAATCGGTAAAAAATATTCCAAATCATGATCACATGACTGTAAAATATTGCAACCGGTAGTAAATGTGAGCTAGTTCCCACACAGCTGGTTGTGTGATATTTCTGACAGTCATAAATGGGAGTAAAGGTTATTACTTTTTCCAAGGCTGTTATAACTTTGAGCCATTGTTAAATGAATTATAAATTGAGGACTACCTGAAGAATATTATCTTTTTTCATTTAATCTATTTTGAGATCTAGTTTAAAAAACCATTTCCCTAACAACTAATCTCCCTCCCTGTGCTCGCCGGTACTATTTATATTAGAAATACTAAATTGTGCACGAAAACTATCTAGTAATTGGCTCTGAGACTTAATGTTACAGATTTAATTGGATTCATTGCAGTTGATTTATACTCCGGATAATTGCTTTAAGTTCCTTTACGGCATTATACATTTAAAAAACAGACTGTGCATTTTTTTTTTCAAGAAAATACCTAATCCTATAAAAAGAAGCTGAAACTTTGCATAATAAAAAAGAGCTTTTTAATGCTAAATACTTTATAAGTAAAATAACTGAGGAGGATAATATGTTACTTCTTGTTCACTTACCTCATATTGCCTGGTTAGAAGGTTTTTTTTAAGAGAGCTTGCTTGGTCTCTTTTCCCGATGATCTGGTTTGAAATGCTGAATTGGTTTGTTGCTACTCGCTGATAACTTGTCATAAAGAGAAAAGAGTTTTTGGTTTCCTGTTCCTAGAAAAGGAAACTGAAAGTTGCTCTATTAGCCCACCCAGCTGTAGAATCAGTTTTTATTTCTTATGGTCCTGCTTGTGTTGTTCCGGTACAGTGATGATAGAAGATTCTGCATTCTAGCAGATTTTTTTCTGTAAAGAAATTCTGTATTTGATTTGTTGTTAAACAGCAGTGCTAACGGTATGATGAGTGGGGCTCTCTTGTTCTTGAAAGATGTGACATCCTTTAAAAAAACACACGATCTGTTGAAAGTTTCATTTGTACTGGCTTTGTACTGTTTTCCAAATGAAAACGAATGAATTACCGTATCCAGTAAGCTTCTGTGCCCAAATCAAAATATGTAGGAGCCCCGTTTTGTGGCTTGTCACCACAGTTTGGCTTGGTGTGTTGTATGGACCCCTGTTTGTAATTTAAAATGTCATAGCTATTACTACAAATTGATGTGCTGTGGGTGTTAAGGCAATTTCTAATGACACTACATGAAAATATAATCCCAGAGTCTTCACTGTGGGGGATCCACATGTTGACCAAACCTTGAATTGGCAAAGCCAAATGCTGGATTTGAGGGTTGTTTTTTTTTTTAATGCAATATGAAGTTGCATGGAGATCTATTTTATTGGAAGATGTAGGGCTGGGATTTTTTCTCTCTCCTGGTGCTCAGGATTGCTGCAATATGTTTTGTGTTCATCTGTAGTGTTCTTAGATGATGTCTCTGGTGAGAGGTTGGATTGTTACTTTGGTAGTGGAACAGTTGATTGGTGTGGGTGGGTTTGATCGATTGCATTTGTAGTTTGCTGTGACTGATGAGGATATCCAGGAAGAGTAGCCTGTTGTCGTTTTCTTCACTCCTGAATTTTATACCTTTGTTGACAATGTTGATGGTTTTGTATGTATTCTCTAATTGGTAATCTAGATGGTAGAGTTGTGGGTTGTGGGACGTCCCCCCCCCGAAGAATGAAATATTTTGAGGAATATTAAAAAGGCAAGATATTATATTTCTCCAAAGAGAGAAATGGAGAAACATATATTTAAGATGTTTAAGCAACCCCCACTTTTTCTTAATAGTCCACAGCAGATGACAGCACTTAAGGAGATAAAGAGCTTATTGAAAGAAGAAGCCATTATCTAGATGATTCTATTCATAAGCAAAGCAAATACTGCAGGCAGAAATCCATTCAAGACAGGATATTTTGAAACTGCTTGTAACAAAATTTGACAGCAAAAACAGATAGGAAAAGAAACAGCCCCTCATCCAAGATCCAACACAGGATGAAAGCCATTAGCCACAATCGGAATTGCCCAACACCCTTTCAGACCCTTTCATTGCATCCCTCCTAGAGCAGTAAACCTGGAAGCTCAGATAAGCAGTAAGCCAGAGGTTGACCAGATTAGCTCAGACGTAAACACCTAGGATTTGCATTTTCTCTTTTGCCTATAGAGCCAGCTAAGACCCCTAGATAACCCCTACATGACCCCATAGGATTCTGACAAGAGGCAGTAGAATATTAAAGGCCATGTTCTGGCACAGGAACAGGATGCTCAAATACAAAGTCCAAAGAAGGTATAAAACCCCAGCCACTCTCAACTCCATTTTGTCAGCTGCCCAGAATCACACGTGGTTCTACTTCATCAATAAACCTTCTTTCCAATTAGCCTCGATGTCTCCAGTGTCTTTCTCCCAGCTTGGATCTGAACCAGATGGATATTTCTCCCAACAAAGTCAGTATCGGAGGTTCTGCTCTATAGAAACTGACTTACATTTCACTTGCTGCTCCACACCGCTGGAATTCAGATAGTCCCACACAATAATAAGCATAACCTATTTCGAATGCAAAACTCAATTTACGGAAAACTGGTGGGCTTCTAAGGGAAAAGGCCTGACATGTAGCTCAAAGATCAAGATATTCGCAACAGAGACAAAACTTTTATTTCTATCAGGGTGGCAATGAAATACCTATCAGATTCACAAACATGTTTATTCCTTGGTTCAACCGGAGTTTTTTTCTTCTTCAGTTCAATTCTTAGAGACAATTTAAACAAGTCCCTGCAGTTTTCTTGGCAAGATTTTTTAGATATGATTTGCCATGGTCCCTTTTCTACAGCTGAGAAAGTGACTACTGGCCTAAGGCCAACCAAGTGGCTCAATGTTTGAGGGAAGAACAGAAATCTTGGTCTCCTGATACCTTAACCAGTGCACCAAACTGTCTCTCTGTTTCTCCTTTCCTGTCTCTTCTTGATGCTCAAATACAAAAGGGGAAACATTTCACAATGCCTCCTTGCTATGATCAAATACCACTTTTGCTAGTAGTTTTTTGGCCACTTAAAAGACTGAGAACAAACCCGGCTCAGTTTATCCCATGCTTGCATTTAGCAGGGGCATCTATAGACAACATACAGCTGTGGCTTTACTGTGATAGTTGATCAGAGCTCCTCCTTTTTATGTGCAGCAGCTTTAGCATTTAGGATCAGAAGTAAGTTAGTTGCTTTTGCATTAATACATAATCCTTAAAAGGGCTCTCCAGTAGGGACCCTGCCAGGGTCTAATTCAGACTGGAAATATAGCAAAGGAAAATATTTTTCCCCATTCTGCTTTGTCCTGTTTTTCCCACTGGAAATGGCTGCTTGCAACAAGAAAACCCAAAAGTATACATATAGACTGGGTGAAACCAGGGTTACTAGCCGCAACTGTGAGAGGGATCTTGGAGTCTTGGTAACCTAGAGGTGGAGCTTTTGCCTCACAATCAAGGAGGCTGTGAGTTCGATCCTAGGTAGAGGCTAATATTTGAAATAGACTTTCCAAGGTCAGTTTAAACTCTGTTATTCTATGTTCTATGGACAACCAATTAAATATGAGCCAGCAGTGTGTGGCGGCAACAAAAGCAGTCAATGCAATCCTAAATTGCATTAACAGAGGGATACAATCAAGATCAAGTGAGGTACTAATACCACTCTCAAGCCTTAGTAAGATCACACCTAGAATACTGCATCCAGTTTGGTCACCACACTATAAAAAAGATGTTGAGACTGTTGAAATATCCATCTGGTTCAGCTCCAAGTGGGGAGAAAGACACTGGAAACATGGAGGCTGATTGGAAAGATGGTTTAATGAAGCAGAACCATCAGGCAAGGGTCCTGGTGCAGCTGACCACATGGAGTTGAGAGACAGGGTTGTCCCCTGTTGCCACTATTGTTTGTTCTGACCTTGGAACAGGGGTGGTATTCTCCCGGTTCGGACCGGTTCTATAGAACCAGTTGTTATGATTCTGCACAGTTTGAGAACCAGCAAATGGTACCCGTGGCTGGCCCCTCCCCGCCAGTCCTTATTGCGCAAGCGCAACATTGCTGACTGCGTTCTCCCTCTCCCAGCCCACTCTTTAAAGTATTTTATTTTTTTCTCTGACAATCAGCTGTTCCGATGATCAGCTACTGGGATCTCCCTCGCTTTCTTACTGTTTCACCCAGGAGGCTTCCCGGAGGCCCAGGAGACAAGGGGGGCTTGTGGGGGGGGTGCAGCTCCATTCTTTGCCTCCCTGAGCCCCAAGGAAGCCTTCTGGGAGCAAAAGTGCCCCCCCCCAGGAGGCAGAAAAAAAGGGGGGTTGCAAAACCACGCCCATCCAGTCACATGGCCACGCCTGCCTAGCCACACCTACAGAACCGTTTGTTAAAAATTTTGAATCCCACCCCTGCCTTGGAAGTACTGAATAAAAACATTAGACAGGATAGAGAAATAAAGAGAATGGAAATAAAAAATGAAGAGTATAAACTACAGGTTTTTGCAGATGATTTAGTTTTTATCTTAGAGGATCCACTGGAAATGGGACCCAAACTATTAAGGATAATAGAAGAATACGGTGAAGTGGCAGGTTTGAAAATGAACAGAGAAAAAACTAAAATGCTAGTGAGGAATATCACAGAAAAAAAAAAGAATTAACAAAGAGATTGGATATTCAGGTTACTAAGAAAATAAAATACTTGGTGATCCTGTTCACAGCTAGGGAAATATTTTGGTGACGTTAATTAAATAATATTGAAATTTATATGGCAAGGGAAAAAAGTAAGAATAAACTTTAAAATGTTATAGGACTCAAGGACGAGGGGGGCGGTTGGACTACCTGAGAACTATATCACCAAGCTGCGGCATTATCTTGGATGAAAGAATGGATAGTATTAAGGAATACAAGGTTGTTGACTTTGGAAAGGCATGATTTACAACTCGGTTGGCATGCATTTCTATGGTATGGGAAAAATAAGATATATGGTTACTTTCAGAGACATTACATAAGAAATGCCTTACTGTTAATATGGGAGAAAACAGAGAACAACACTATTTGAACTATTTGAAAGTACCCGTCTGGATTTCCACAATGGAAGCACTTAATCACCTGAACACTTTTAGGGAAATATTGTAAGATACAAGGATATCTTAAATGAAAGAGATGAGCTTAAAAGCAAACAAGAATTGGACAAACAAGGGATAGATACAATTTGGTACTCATACTTGCAAATACAGGTGAGATATGAGAAAGATGTTAAAGCATATGGCTTATACAAAGTATTGACAGAATTAGGTAAGATACTAACAGGAACAGAAGAAAGGTTGATAAAAAAAAACCATACAGCTACCTATTAGGCATTAAACTAGAAGATGAAGGAGACAATGATAGCATGGGCAAAGAATTTTGGTTATAGAATAGCACTTGATGACTGACAGAAATTATGGGATAGAAATTATAAGGTAACAATGTTAATTGCATACAAAGATAATTTATACAAAATGTTTTATATATGGCATTATGCTCCAGCAAGGTTGGCAAAGATATTTAAAGATAAATCAGCAAATGTTGGAAATGCCACCAAATACCTGGCACATATTACCACGTGGTGGACATGTGATGAAGCTAAAAAATATTGGACAAAAGTATGCTGATGGTTGGAAGAGATGATACAATGTATTGATTTAAAACCAGAAATC